ATGTAAAAATAGCGCATTATTATAAATAGTTAGCCTCGGGCAAGCTGTTTCCTTCTTATTTACGCGGCCAGCTAACTGCTTTGTGAAGTTTCAATTTGGTTATTATTCCTGAATTTTAATTTTCCATGACGTGGCTCCCTTAAATAAATCATCTGGTCACGCTTTGTGAACACATGACAAACCTTTTCAAACGGCGAACTATATACGTCGCCAACCTTATCATGAAAGGTGCTTTCATAGGTTAATCCATCCCCACCTGACCGAAAGCACTAGTCGAGTAGCTTCAATTTTCTCCTTAATCTACACAAAGTTGGTTTCTGTGCAGGTTATGAGAATAAGTATTTTGATCTCGAAGTCTAGGGTCTGAAGCAGGGAGTTGTACTATATCATTCAAATGAAAGATATTGAGCAGTACTTTCATGTGGTACTGTTTATTATGCGGTACAAGATGGTTCTAACTTTTAAGTCTGTGGATGAAACCCTAGTGTGTGACCATTCAAATGAAAGCTATCTTGCAGTACCTTCATGTACTCTTTATTACGCTGTACAAGGTGGTTGTCACTTTGTAGTCCGGCATATTTCATTGCATATGAAAGCTGCCGAATAGTACTTCCTTAACACAAGTGTATGTCAAAGTGAAACGTCAGCGGAGATTTCATTTCGTCTACGGGCTCAAACTGAATTAATTGCATTTCAACGACAGTTCTGCCAACAGTTTTTCGATCAAGAGATTTTACTGAAGAATAACCTATCGAACCTTATCTCCAACAGAGACTGGATGTAGCTCATTTGAAAAGTTCACTTGTTTGGCAAACAAAGATAAGTTCTACTAAAAATAGGCCAGCTCAGTTGGTTATGACAACAGTGATCGAGCGGTCGACAAACAATGGGAACAAGTCCATATTACCTTATTATAATCTAATTTTGATGTTTTAACCTTATGGCTAAAAATAAGTTTCGTCAGAGTTCTTGAAATAGTTTTGTAGGATTGTCTTAATCACTTTAATATTTCATTGATCTAATGGATATTTTGGCTCGGACAATAAGGTTTATTTTTTAGGAGAGAAAATACATTTTAGTTTATTAATTTGACCCACGATTGAAATCAATTCAATAATGACCCAGTTATCATTACGGAGAGGCGGCAAAACAACAATATCTCCAGTGACCCTGCGAACGAAAATATTGCCCAGCATTTATTAACCTCCGAGGTGATAATTGCCAATAAGTCATAGTAAGATACGTGCTGTTGTTCGCTTGAAACTTGCAATGTATTTTCAATTTCATATCACCTACAGGTCCATCCAGCGTTTCAAAACAGCTTTAATCTCTCTCTCGTCTGTTTTCAGAAGAACTCTAACGGTTTAGAAAAGACAAGACGGCTGAACAGTATATGCAAGCCTATCTGACCATAGTTATCTATGTCGTTAAAATTCTTAATTTCACGTCTGGTTCAACCCACCTTTAAGCTGTTCACCAAATGTTCGCTTGAACAGCCCTCTTTAATAAGCTTTGCCGGGCGATAAGCCACTTCTTTCCCTTTGTTCCCCGTTGTTTATCCAATGGTGGAATCGTATATTTGCATGACAAGACCAGAAATTTTACCGTACCACATGTGTCGCTCAGGGACCATTGAAGGGGAGTGGTTCTGCTAAACTGAATGTCGCTGTTATTTACTGCTTCGTGAAAACAAGTTCTTGAAGGAATGATCTACTCGAGTCATGTAGGTACTCTCATTGTAGATCAGTTTTTCCTCCATTGCTTTTGATTGTGTTAGAATTGCCATCTTGTACTACAGCAGTGAAAGAAGCAAACCAAACATCCATCTGACCAAGTTAAGCGTAAGTTAGGAAATGAATGGCATACACTGTTTGCTAAGTGAAGTATCTCTTAAAAAATCGTATCATCAAAGACTATAGATTTTTTTGTCGACCTGGATTTTACAAACATGAAACACTGATTTGCTTTAATAATTTGTGATCCTTTTTTCATTTGAAAACCTTTTGCAATATCTTCTCGTCGCATTGCGAAACTGCCAGAATGTACAGAAATAGAGTGTTGTGTTCGATATACTCTGCCCATACACAGTTGTCTGGCATACCTAGTTTTCGTCTTTCAACATTTGAACCTATAACTTGTAATATCTTATCATTTTCTGCTTTGCTTTGAGTTGTTTTCTACTGCCATAATAACACCCTATCATCTGCAGCTGTAGCATTATATACTTGTTTACCGGTCTATAAAAGTCGTATCGAATCTGGTCGTGATATCAGACCTGGGATAAATCTATTCATTAAGGAAGTGACGCTGGAATTAGCCTGCTTAACTTGTGTGAATATCCGAAAAAAAAGGATCAAAGCCTAGGTCTTAAATTGTCGTCACGTTAAGCTCAAATCTCGAGCTCAAAACATGAATTCTCTGAGCTGTTTGTCATGTATTTCTTCTATGTTATTTCTGAATATTTGGTACTACATCAAGACTACCCTCTCGGCATGTTAACCCTTCAGTCACTGTATGTTGCCACGCACAGGCTATGTGTAGGGAGTTTTCCTCGAAAAGAGTAATTCACAGCACCAAATTGCAAAAAAAAATCTTTGTTAATTGGGTAAATCTAAGCCTCTTTCATTCGATTATCTTCATGCGCCTTTATCTGACCTTACTAATGAGCCTTACTGTACGGCCTTCGCTGCTACAGCGATAAGAATCTTCTCCGGCTATACAAAGAGGCATATTACATCAAACGTCGGACACCTTCCCTCAACAAAGGACTCAAATTCAGCAGAGAACTTTGCCTTTTCTCATTAGTAGTTTTTTTCTTCTATTCATTGTTACTAAAACCGTATTTAACTGATGATAGTATAGTTCTTACCGAAATATGACTGTCAGTTTTGCCAGTTGTTGTCTGAATTTCGACACAATTATGAACATTGCGTCTTGGATTATCATTCATTCTCTGGTTTTAACGCTCAGTTGAAATAAGAAAGAAGTATATTTCTATGTTCGTTACTAAAAACTATTCAATACTCGTCTTTTTGTAGGGTAACAACTTTAGAGACGAGCAATTTTTGCGTGCACTGTTAAAAGTACAACAAGTTGTGAGAAAATTGAAGATTTGTGTCAACAGCCCTTCAGTGTAGGCAGATTCATTATATTTTCTATATGCACTCTCAAAGTGAAACACTTTTTTCTTCAACCCCAACTAGCGGAATACAGCAAATAACCTGAGAGACAAATATCCTGTGTAGGAAACCGGTTTAACGGGTTATCAGAAGTCCAAATACTTCTGATATCGCATAACACCGTACAAGAGTTAAAAGTCTCGATTTTTTTTTACTCGGTCTTTAAGCTTGCCAATTAAAGTGTATAGAAATATACGAACGATATTACACTGAAATGTTCATTATGATATCTAATATGTCGACGCCCCTTTTCGGATATTTCGGCCGAGTTCTGACCAGTTCTTCGCCACTGTACATGGATCAAGCCAGTTATCGTGAAGATCGAAATAACAGTTTTAATGGCAAACAAAGTATATTTGTGTCCAACGCTGTATTTGGTTCCTTTTTGTCTGAGTGAGTTTTACCTGGTTTACTCTATCTGTAGGAAAGCAGCTTATTAAAACTTAATCTTAAAGGACAAAGGGCGTGAACTCAAGGAACCAGGGTACATTCTCGATCGTGTTGTTATCTTTTAGTCAGACTGAACGAAAAATCCAATAACAACATATTTATTTAGACGTTCATTTCACATATTCAAGCAAAACCCAAACTGACAAGTAAATTAATGAAGGAATGCTGTCGGAACATTTTTTTTATAATCCCTTTTGTGGTAGATAAAATCAATGGAAATCGTCTTTGCGTCAGTTATGGTTTCACAATCTTATTTCTGTTTTGTGTAAAATGGTGTTTGTCCATTTTCTTCGTTATCGGTTGACAGATATCGTAACTAATTGCTCGTGAAAGTCTCACTTTCTGTTCTTGCGTGCTGTATTGATATTATCTGCCTTCCTTCAAAAGTGACAAAGTCTTTATGTCGTTTGCCCACTTCAAGAAGAACAACGAATACGACATTGCACGTCGAAGACCTTTCGTTCGGAATATAACGAACTGAAGCCATTGGATGGTTCTTCTCTGCTGGGTTAACTTGTTTGACAGGGAAAATTGAGGTATTAGTTTAACGACAGATTTGCTTTCTTAAATACTGGACTTTAGAACGTTGGCTGCATGGAAACATGGCATATGCCTGACAAGTAGACATTAAATACGGATTGAACGGCATCTCCAAAGCGTGCTCAAGGTATTTTAGCTGTCTAATTGTCCTTTAGACTGTGATGATTTCGTGATACAGAAATATAGCAAATGCTTACGTTTTGAGCCAGGCATGCACCTCAGCCAGCTCTGATATTTCCGATGGAACTCCCACACGCAGAAGTTACTAACTGAAGAACTACCTCTTATTGGAATTTATACGGAGGCCAAATGAAAATATAGTTTCAAATTCACCAGACAAGCCATATAACTTTCGTTTCCGTGTTTAACGTTTAGTTGTGATTTACGCGGAAAGTGTCTGCGAAATTTACGAGGGAAATATTCGTGGTATCGCACGGAGTATAATTTAAGTTATGTCCCTATCGGGTGCGTTTGACATCGCGAAAAACCGAAGCCACCTGTGACATCAAAATACACAGGCTTGCTTTTGCGAGACTTTCGCGAGTTTGGGTGTGAGTGTTTCAGTAATTGTTTTGGTGGAAACAGAGCTGGATAATCTCTCCTTGAATTTGCTTTCGTGAAACTCTCGGTCGAAACTAGATATGCGCCGTTAATCGCATTATTGGAAAGGATTCGAAAATGTGACGTAGCCTTGTGTGACTGTCTGACAAAAATGAAACATCACTTCATGAAATAACAGCAGTCACAACATTTGACGGACAGTAATTTGCACTATGCTATCAGGTTCACATCAATGAGCGTTAATTTTTTTTAATAAAAACACATTTCTTCGTAATCCAAACAATTAAATTCGCGTTAAGACCTCAGTTGTAATGGTTGAAAGTGATTGTGATGTGGGAAGACATACAAGGAGGCCTTGTGCAGCGAATGTCGAGCTATTTTTAGCGTGTTTCAAGCTACAGCGCGAGATAAAACGAACATAGCTGAAATGCTTGCTGAGAGCTAAGCACACGCCCAGAGATATCGATGACACACGCAGGATGGAATGACAAATTATCTTGGCCTCCAAAACAGACGGAAGCATACATTAAATCAACAATTTGGAGGATGTGACTCTTTTCCTTTTTAGGTTTTTGTGGATTTTGCGACACGAGGAAGGGGACAAGCGTTTCTTGAGATAGAATTTTGTTATGACTAAAATTCGTTTCGACCGACAAAAAACTGCATTCCTGCCAAACGTTTTTAAAAGCAGGAGCATTTAAAGGATTATGTTGTGGTAGTTGCAAAACGTTTTAGCGGATTGGAAAACTCGCCGAAAAGTTAGCGGTGTCCAAAAATTCGCCCCATAGCAGGGGATAATTCGAAAGTAGAATGAACTAAGGTGTTTTATGTTTGTTTCTGTGTTCCTTAATCGATACGAAATTTGTTATGCTTTGAATAAATTTGACTGCAAAGCCTGCGGTGACAATTTCCTACAAATTGATCGATGGAACCCATTGATTTGTTACAAGTTAATGCGTAATTGAGGCCATGCGGCACGTGACAGAAAACCGATGGATTGCGGTCGATAGGAATCTTTTCCATTCCCTCACAATAACAACAAAACATAAAAACCAGCATCATATAAGGTTTTTAATCGGAGTTTCGGCGCAAAAAATGTGGCGGGAAAGGCCCGCCAGAGGCAAAACGTGATGTCTCGCACGATCGGTGCTGCAAAACAAGATGCCCGTTGTTTCGCTTACTTTCAAAAATGAGTTCTGTGTAAATTATACAGTTGACATACTCTTCTTATCGTTGTGCAGCTGATAATGTTGACATTCACGTGACAACTCGATTTTTTGATATTTTCAATTTACGTACATTGCAACTGGAATTTGGTTTCGGCGGGTTGTGATAAGAGATATCTGCGTTATTTTTTCAGATTTGGTTCGGATTTTTGTACGTTAATGTGTCTTCCCAAAGCATGTTTTTCATATCGAAACAAACTGTGTTCTTTTTCGTATGGTTTACGTACATGGACAATGCCAAAAAGAAAATATCGATAAAGAGCTTGGGAAGACAATAACTTCAATGTCAGTCTTGACGTATTTAATGCATATGCTGTCGAACTGGTTCACGACCCCGCATATTTTCCCCTTAATAAAAGCAAAGCGAACAATGGCGCCTGCGATAATACCGCAAGGTATCATGGGTAATTATAGTTAATCGTTTCATCGAGAAATTTCGCCGATTTGGTCGAGATTCGATCAGAAACTGTCCGTGTAAGAAAACTCAGCCCAACTTTTTAAGGCGGTGCTATTTTCATCTACGCTCTTAATTTTCAAGTGATTCGCAAAAATTGGGCCAATCGTAAGGCGCACAGTGACCATAAAATTGCAAGAATTAAAAAGAATTCAACGTAGAAATTTTGGAAATGAAAGGATGGGAACGTTTCTAAAAATAGCCGAAAGCCTTGAAAAGTGCAGATACAGATGGGAAACAACAAGGAAAACTTATCATTCACAAATAAACTTCGATCAATGAAAGGAAATTAAATGTAACAAAATTTGACAACTATCACTTGTCGATGAAACAGTATTTTTGCGTTTACGTAAATTGAATTTCCACCCTCCCTACTCTAACAACGCCTCAAGCGCGAACCGGCAAAAATAAAACAGAACGGGAAATTCTGTTCTGTTTCAAGTTTAACCAAAATTTTACAAGCTTTACTAGAAAACCAAAACGAGCTAGAAAAGTAAAATAGTTCTTTTTTCCTTTCCAAAACCAAACCTTTAAGATACCTTATATTTCCATATACATTTTTGAAAATGTGTCTTTCAAATAGCACTCCTATACACTCCGACTTTGTCCAATCGTATTCATTGGATTCTTAACACCAGATAGCAGATTTGCCTTGTTAATTTAATGAATTCACAGTTGTGGGTTCCACACTCATGTTAATTTGATTTAGCAGATAATTTCGTGTCAATCTTATAGCGTGAAAGCGACAGAACTTTACTTCGCAGTATGTTTTTTTCTAAAAAGGGCGACAAATTTAAGATGTGTACTATTAAAAGCGTGTTGGTTTCAAAATATTTCCCTGTGTGGAGAAGTAACTTTAAGATTTCTATCTCCCTTGTGGTCTGAGAATTTTATTCGGGTTTTATTGCAAAAACGAGAAATTTTCTTAATATCATTTCCCATCAATCATTACAATGTTGAAAGTTTGGGTCTTTGAAACAATACCGTGACACTTTTTTTTTAGCAGGAAGATATTAAAGCTTGGACTTCCTGCAAGGAAAATATGTCAACATTAGCACGGAACACCCACAGATAAAACTCGCATCCATAAAAGTAGATGTTACTTTTAAATTTGCCGTTGGAGCCCTACTGAGTAAATTGTGATTCAAATGATAGTTACTGGGTGCTATCCTAATGTGTCATGAGCGTTTTTTTGGCAGTGTTTGGGAGTGGAAAGTAACATGGTTAATTATGAGGAACAGTGCCACCGGAGATCTGCAATGGGCAGTTATTCTCTAGTAACAACAATAAAACCATTCTATTTTTAAAAAGATCTGAAAACTGCCGAGTTTATGGAAAAACAAATCAGCACAAGACCGTACAATTTTGAAAGTGAACGGCAGGTTTTCTCCGGCCAAACTACAAATCCCCACAACATACTATTGGTCTCAAATCATACATTGGTTCGAATCCGTTCTGGAAGATTCCAAAGTCTCCGGGATTTTATGCAGAATTAAGCACACAGAAATTGCAATATACTGTCTAAAAATAAAATTAATTATTGCTAACATGCTTACAGGATTGACATCAATGATAAAATCTAACTAAAATTATTTGTGGTATAAAAATGCAAATTGCCTGCAAAACCGCTAATTTTATTCCAAAGGTAATAGTACAACTAGCGGCCATTGCAGATTTTCACAAGATGAAGACCGCAAATTAACAAGCTTGCCCTCAACGACACAGTTTTCATCACGTTTTTACTGTTTCTTATCTGTGTGGTCTCAAAAGATTTTTATTTTTTTATGTCCTTCGTTACATGATATAATCGCAAGACGATCTACTACGCAACATTCGCCAAAACGCAGTTTATTAAAATACGGCAAACGTCGAAAAAAAAAATCGTGCACTTGTGTATATTTTAAATATTCTGGTTACCTGTAAAATTTATTATTTTGAGATTGTCTGTCGTTGAGTATTACCTGTCATTTGCAATCAATTATTTTTTTGTCTTTAGCTTTTAGCAAGTCATTCAACTTTCTGTCTAGCCATGACTAAAAAACAAACATTTCACAAATTTAATTTCACTAGTTTAGCAAATTCTATGAACTGACAATGCGAGAAAACTGACTTTTCACATCGCGTGACAATTCGATGACTTTTTAGCCTGAGATTTATTTTTGTCGGCCCCGTAATTTGCCATTGTCGATTCTATAACTGAAAAATAAGTTATCCGCCCGTGAAATAATTTAGTTATTAGCGCGCTCTAATCGTCCATGTGTTTGTATTTTATGCCCACGGGGTAGATACGAAATTTTCACAGACTGATGGATATTTATCACGTCTAGTATCGTATCAACAGGCGGTCTTCAAAGCTCACTTTAATTCAAAACTAACATTCTTTTTCTTTTTAATAAAAGGCTCTCGGCAGATCCCAGCGTAATATGTGGAGATTTTTTGTTTCAGATTAAAAGGCGCCGCTGACGAATTTTAGGTTCGCGTGGTTATCTGTCAAACTGGCTCGTTCCTTTCATTGCCATTAGCCTATAGTTGTCCTTGTTAGATTCCTGGGTGCTTTTTGTGGCCAATGGGAGATGTTATTTCCTTTCGTAATTACGGCCAGCTGGTGTTCCGGTAGGGCGGATTTTAAAACAGAAAGTGTTCCAAGACGGAACATACATCACATTTATGAAAATGTTAGTGTTCACGCAATCATTTGCATCTAGTGCTACTACTTGCCTTTCATGCTTGCTTTAAAAATTTAACGTGGAAGATTTTGCTGAAGGAGACTTTCAAAACCATCCGTGAAAGCTATCATCGCCAGAAGTCGGGTAAGACTGTTAAATCGTGTGAATATGAGCGGTTACTTTAGTTACAGCTATGATCTATCTCAGATTCCTAAATCAT